ATTTTGATTGCACCGCTTTGCAAAGGTCTCCATGATTACGTGGTGATATCTTGAGAGACATATGCCACTGTTGGTGGACAAGCGTGGCTGGTATATACTTGGATTCGGTTAAAGCATTAGCAATCTCATGCGAACAGGGCAGTCCCCACACGCCGCGGAAGGTTTTTGTGCAAGTCCTATTCAAAGAGTCGGGTATTAAACCATACTGTGCCTTGATTTTCTTAATTGCAAAGTGTGAAACTGTGCGATTGAGCTCCTGGAACATTTCGGGGAGGCGTAGCAAAGTCTTCTGAGTTTCGATACCGGTTGTAATGAAAATTTCGTCGTACTGTGAATCTCCGGCACGCTTGAAAGCCTTAAAACAAGTGACAAAGTCGTTATTACTGCCGTCCAGGAAGTCTTTAAGTCGATGATGTCCGCCCTCAAGTCGAGAAGTTGATGAGTTCCCAAAATGGGGAGTCTGAGAAGTGAATAATGCAACAAACTTATCGCTTCGATAAAGCCAATTTTTTTCTAGATATTCCAAGATTTTGTGTTGGTGGGCCATTTTCTTCACAGCTTCAAGGTTGTTGTTGTAATCAGTTGTAGTCGTGCTTTGCATAAACCGATTCCAAATGGTCATGAACTCGGTGAATTGAGGGGCTGTGAACTTATTCTTGCAATTTTTACCTATGTTGTAGTTGATGTGCCAAATGCACAATATATGAGTTGAAGAAGGAAAAACTTTTGCTATCGCATTGTATAGAGCTGGCTCGGCATCGGTGCAAAATGTCTGTGGCAAGTCTTCGTTTTTCGAGGAGTTGTTAGAGGAGTCAGAGGCGTTGTTTTCAGCATTTTGCGGAGCATCATCCACAGAATCGATCGTAGGAGGTTGAGTGTTTATGTCGTTGGTCGTATTGGGAGGAGATTCCCTACCGAAAACTACAGATTTCAACTGTTCTAAAGCCCATATATAACGTTCCTCTACCTCGCTGTGCATAAAACATAAGGCCACCGTGAAAGTCTTGTGCGTGTTGGTTGTACCTACGATGTGCAGGAGGGGGAGATTGAACCTATTGGTCTTGTAGGTGCAGTCAAGACCCAGGACCGTGGGAAACCGGCGAGCCATACTGATTCCTTGAGGGCTGGCCAAGAATAACGATTGTAGTGTTCCATCGCGGGCGGTTGTTGTTCAAAAGGCCCAGTTCGCTTCGGAGATCAAGTCAAATAAACCCTGAATGGGTGTACGGCCAGCTAACCATGAGGTTTTTAACCGATAAAGAGCATTATGGATGTCTCGAACTAGAGGCTCTGATCCGGCGGGAAAGTTGATTAGGCGACGAATCTGAGATGCTCGACAACCAGCGGATGAAAGTGATTCAATTTGGCCCATCCGTGTCTCCTTCTGAGTATTAGGGGAGACGGCGTGACTGCCCGTCGTGGGGGACTACTTGGTTGTGTTTAT